TGATGATGGAGATCCAGTTGACTTCGGTCAGTGCAATCAAATACTCTTACACAAACTCAAGAACTTAAACATACTTGGTGGGTGTTGTGGAACAGATACTCGTCATGTTGAAGAAACATGTAAAGCATGTACTAAGACTTAAATATACTCATCTCAACAATCAGCACTGTAAATATTTTTAGAACATAAAGAATCTAGAAATTTTGATAGTCTCTGATATAGATTACCATTATACACCTTGCTATTAAATATAACAAATTAATCTAAGTTGATATTATTGAAGAAGAAAAAACGAACTATATCTTTTTTTTTAATAATATTTATCGGTTTTTTTCTTTGTTTATTAATGAAACAAATAATACAACAACACACACGCACACACACATGTTCTAATACTGTAAATAAACAGATAGAAAAGAAAAAAAATGGCAAATATCAACTGTACAACTGTGTGCGGTTACTTTTAACGATGAACATTACAAACAAATAAATTAACTATTAATAATTTAACTAATATTCTATGATGTTAATGTTGATTGTGATGTCGTTAAATTATTATTAATTAATGATGCATTTGTTTCAACAGGTTTTGTTTGATTATAAAAATCCGGTAGAAGTTTAAGACGATTAAGAATTTGATCAACTATTTTTGTTGATAATGATTCAGTAGAAAACCAAGTTGAATTTTCAAGAATTTGTCCAATTATTGGATGTAAATAAAATACATCAGCTGTACCACGTATTTGATCGGGACTAGAAGAAAAAGAAAAATAATGATTTAAATGAAAACTAAATCATTTTACCATTTTGATACATAAAAATCATATTGTTTTATTGGACATCGTACTGGATCATTCACTTGTTCTGTTATGTCATAAACAGTTGAAGAATTTGCTAATAATTTCAAATCTTTATTAAAAAAAATAAAAGAATATCATTCGTTTTATTTAAATAAAAGGTTTAGTTATATACCAGGATTATGAGCATAGAATCTTAAATAATTCATTTGTTGTCCTTGTGATGTATTTGTTGATACACGTCCCCATTGAGAATATTTTCCAAAATTTGCAAATGATATAGCCATATGTGATTCAACCGTTTTTAAATTAAAATATTTTGTATTTGTATAAATCAGTGTTGTTAATAATGACCATGGTGTTAATGTACCAAATTGATGTACATCATATAATAAATCTTCATCAATTAATGATACATATGTATTAGCTTAATTATAGAATAAAATAGAAATAAAAGCTTTTTCGAAAAATATATGTTGAACTTACAATCTGTTGAAAGACGTAGTGTATAGTTTAAAAGAATTTTATTTAATGTTGAATTAAATTCTACATAACGTGGATCAAATAAATCAATTTGACGATTATTTATATTTAAATAAAATTGTATTCCTAAAAAATCGAATTCAGTTTTGGAAATATTCGAATTGAAAATTTCGTTACATACCCAAACAAAGGTAATATATGCTTTCTGGTAAATATTCATTGCCAGTTGGACGACGAACTTCAGTAATGAATACACTCATAACATGTTGTAATTCATCTCCATTGACATATGAAAGTAAATCTGACTTAACTAAATATTGTTTTGCAAGTGCTGCTTCTAAAATTATTTTGATTATTAGAAAATCATATCTAATTAATGAAATACAATACCTTCTGGTGTAATCGTACTTGATGGATATAAAATCGATCGATTACGTTGTGCACACCATTGTTGGAATGCTTCAATACCATAAGTCCATTTAATACGATAACCAGCATCAGGTAACATTCGAAGAAGCTATGAAATATATAAATATTTTTATATATTATAAAAACAAATTTAGTTTATACTTTTTGTATTTCAGGATCATTGGATGTCATTGGATCAATATAATGTGCTTCAAGATCAAGTTCAGGTAAATTTTCAATTGTTTGTGATGTTGTTAAATAAGATTCTAATACGTATACATATATAAAATACAAAAAAAAGTTGACAAATAAATTATTACCAGTTAAATCCATTATCATCATTGATTCATTGACATGATTTATTGTTGTTTGTTGTGGTAGATTTTCTGCACGTACTAAACTTTCAGCATGCATAACAAGTGCTGCTTCATATGGATCATCTGGTAATAGATCACGTTGTTTCTAAAATAATTTCAAATATAAAATAAGATTTCATTTTTCTTCTTTCATTGAATAAATTACTTGAAGATAGTCACGAATATTTTTATAAGCTTTTCTTGGCACTGGTATCATAATTGGTACAAAAACAGGCACTGGAATTGGTACTGCTTTTGGTTGAAATAATTGATAACTTGGTGTTGGCGATGGAAGATAAATTGGTACAGGTAATGTAACTAAAGGTACATCTGGAATCATATGTTCCATTTCTATATAAGATAAATAATAATTTTTCTGTATCAATAGTTAAAAATAAAAACCTGTTTGTGTTGCAATAGTAAATCTTGTTGGTTTAGCTTCAACTTCGCGTTCACATACTAATGGTTTACACATTGTCATTTTATTTCTCATTATTGATGGATTTGCCATTTGTTGTGGCATAATAAGTGGTACAAATGATTTAACATGATATAATTCATCATCTGGCCAACGTGGTTGTTTTTTATTTGAAATTGTTGCTGCACGCATTTCAGCTACTGTACGTGGTTTTCTTCCTGGACCGGCTAATGTTGTTGGAGAAGTTGTCGATGATGATTGAGATTGTTGAGGTGGACGTGGATAATCCATTAAACGATAAGGTATATCATCTTCATCATCTTCAGCTTTATTCAATGGCATTGATGATGGTGTAGGAGGAATTTGATTTCCATGTTCATCACGATCCAATAATGGAAATGTGACGAAATCAGCATCTTGTTTTGGTTTTGGTACACGTGTTGAACGACGTGTTGGACCTAAATTATCATTACTACTTATGGAATATGATGGTGGAGATGAATCACGATCAGAATCAATTTCATCACCGGATGAAGGACGTCGAGTACGATTTCTAGATGAAAATAAACAATTTTTAGTTAAGATATTTTTTAATAATATTTACTGGAACCAAGAAAGTGGTCGTCGCTGAGAAGATTGTTGATGGTGTTCCATCGCATTTAATGGTGTTATTCGTCGTTGCTGTTGTTGTCCTATTGATGATGACGTTACTGGTAGATGTTGTTGTTGTTGTTTATTAGACATTAATCCAATACGATTATGATAGAGTCCTTGTCCAATAGTTGTTGGCATTGATGATGTTGGTCGTCCAAAAAACATTCGATCATCATTCATATTTTGTTGTTGTTGTTGTAAAGATTTACGAATTGTTGCTCCTCCACTTGATGTTATTGTTGATTTAACAGCTGTACCTGGTCGACCACTACCACCAACTGATGTGCCACCATATATATTCGCTGTACGAGCTTGACGTGATCCTGATGCAGTATTATTAATATTTGATCTTGCATCAATAGATTGCTGACGCCTTCTTTGTTCAATACCAATGGGTACAATATCATCAGGTGGATGTTGAATAAGTGATGTTAATTCTTGAAGAAAATTTTCTGCTGATGGTTGAGATTGTGATATTTGAGATGAAGGCAGAACAGTCATAGTTGTTGTTGTTGTTGATGTTTCGGAAGGAGCAGGAACAGTTAATAATTCAATAGTTTGACCAATACCAGGTAAATCTTAATAAAAATAGAAAAAAGATCAATCAGTAGTTATTTTTTTCTTGCGTGGGATTATCTAGTCTAGATTATATAAATCACAAAGATCATTATCAATATTTAACGATTGGTTGTTAACAACTATTAATAAATTATCATATCCAAACGAATAATATACTCATCGATCATATATTTACAGTGATGAAATACATATTATCACTATCATTACCTCAGATTCTAAACTTCCTACCTTGTTTACTTACATGCTTTTCCTGTTTTATTAAGTTCTTCAAGAAATGCATTCATTTCGGGTTCTGTCATAGAACTAAGTACTGCTTGAAGTGTTGCATCATCAACAACATTTATTTGCTGTTGTTGTTGTTGCTGTTCTTCTTCTTCTTTTGTTGATGTATCCATCATTGCAGATTCATTTAATGAAGTTGTTGTTGTTGTTGGATCAACATTTTGTTCTGTTGAGACTAAATAAATTCATAATTAAAATAAAACAAGAATAAATCTTCCATTACTTCTACTTTCTTCTTGATTCGCTATATTTTGTGATACTTCTTCGGCCATATCTTCAACAAATATATATGTTTATGTATATATATATATAACAGAAGAAAATTTTTTCTTAACAAATTATTTTTATAAAGATGAAAAAAAAATAACAAAAAAAAATTGAAATATCACATAATTTCTTTTTTCATAACAAGATATTTAAACACATAGAAGAAAAATGACTAATAGAATGAAACAGCATGTAATACAGTTCTTTTTGTTTTCTGTTCAAATTCTGAGAGTATATCATCAATAGCATCATCCAAATCATTCGTTGCCTCTAACTATTAAGAAGAAAGAAAAAAATAGATAAAAAAATCGAAAACTAAATATTTTATTTACTTTTTGTCCTAATTCACAAAACATAAATGCTCCAAGTGTAGCATCTTCTGGATTATCAATTACATCAATATTAATAATATGTACTAGTTCGTTTGTACGTTTCTCACGATTTTCTAAATCTAGAATTATAAGAATGATTTATTAGTTGTTTTTTTTGTCTTATCTTTACCTTCCATAACTTGATCAAATATACGTTCTTCAACAGTAAATATAACATCAAAACGTTCTCGACTATCTTGAAAACGTTCAGGTTTCTCTTTTATTCGACGATTACGATCGAGCATATGAAGAACACCATTTTGTGTATAACTTTAAGAATGTCATTTTGTTAAATATTAATAATACTAAGAAATTATACATACAAATTTGTATCTTTCTTATATAAATCTTTGTACATATATTCATATGAAGTATCAAATGTATATACGTTCGGTTTTTCAAGAGATGTTCCAGGTAATTTAACTTGTTGACCTGAACCATACGATTTGACTAGAAGACCACGTTTACTAAAAATAAAAATCTGTTATTATTATTACGATTCATATTTATAATGAAATTAACCTCATAAAATTATGTGCTTCCATACTACGATTTTGATTTGATGAACAAACAACAGCAAAACGAAATGGCATTATTCAGATCTACAAATAATAATATCAAACTAATATAAAAGCTGGAATATATTGTTTTTTAGAGCAAAAAAAAGAAATAAATTAGTTTTTTTTAATGCCAATAACACCGCAAGCCATACGACCACCGGCATTGCCTGTTTTCTTTGAATCAGCTGAATTTCCACGACCAAGATCATCTTCCTTTTCATGAACAACAATTGAACGTCCAATAATTGATTTTGAACCTGTTAATTTAATAATTGAATCTTTAAAATTAAATTTAGCAACATTGCCAGATCCACCAGTTATATTTCCTATAATTTCAAATAAATATTTTAATAAAACAAAAGATCAATATAAATACCAAGATCACCAACATGACGAAGTTCATCTTGTGGACCAGCATGTTCATGATTATCTGGATTGTAATGAGCACCTAGATTAAAATATGAAAAAATTGATCTTGCCTTTTCATCCTGTTAATATCAAATCAGTCATATATTCTATGTTATGTTTGTCTCTACTACTGTCCATTTCAAAAAAAAAAGGGTGAGTATTTTTTGATAGGAACAAGATAGAGAGCTGCGGGTTTCACCATTAGCAAGAGCAGATGAAGATGCATCAAAACCTATGTCGGCAGATTTTTGTAACTACTTCCCAAAGGCTACTGTAGGAAACTCTTGCACAAACAGTATGTCTCGCATTAACGCCACATTAGTTCGTTCATTTTCAGGAGTGTTCTAGAATCGCCAGATCAAGAACTACAAAACTGTGTGAAGGTTTTACTCATGACTACTAAGAATTCAATCTTTCACTGGTAAAAAAACACTTTTGTAACCCATTTTTCGTGCAAAAAATGGAAGTTTTTGTGATCTTCTGATAAAAAGTCGTATTTTTTCATGTGTGAGAAAAAGACAGTTTTTTTAAAACATCTGACTAGTAGTCTTTGGGAAGTAGTTACAAAAATCTTCCGACATAGTTTTTGATGCATTTTTATCTTCTCTTTCTACCGGTGAAAACCGCAGCTCTCTATCCTGTTCCTATCAAAAAATACCTACCCGCCTTTTTGCTTTGAAATGGACAGTAAATTATTTCTCATTTTAGAATAATCATATCAAAAAAACGTAGTAAGTTATTACCAGCTGAAGTACATCCATTAGTAGTATCACCAAATTCATGTATATGAAAACCACGTTTTTGTTTATCAGGTATATTTTTAATTTCACCACTAACAGTTACTACTCCATCACTTGCTTCAACAAAATCAACATGACCATAAACTTGTCCATTACTCGGATCAGTAAGTACTGCAACAGCATGAATACCTGTTGTTCCCAAACCAGGTACATTCTTAACAGTATCAGTCATTTTTTGTGTGACACCACCCATAATTTTTTTCTTTTTTATTTATCTTTTTTTTTAATCTAAAAACACAATGAGAAAAACAAAAATTGACATCCCAATGTATTTAGAAAAAACAAAACAACTGAAACAGGTAAACAAAAACAAAAAAAAAAAGACCCTGAAAAGAAGATATTTTTTTGTGCTGTTCTTATTTTCTAAATACCAAAACGTTTTCGTTTTAATGCTGGTGGTAAACACTGTTCAACACTTGATGGTATTAATTCCACAACAAATAATTGTGTTGATGATAAAAGTGTAACATGTAAAAGATATTTAAATTGTTTACAAACATGTATTGGTGAATTTGTTTGATTTGTACTATTAAATATTTTCGCATATGTACCTGGCATTTTCTTTCCACGTTCAATAATACTTAAATAAGTTGAATCAACAACAAATAATTTATCTTTGGTATCATAAAATAAATTTATTATTGGACTTCGTTCAGAAAACCATTGTAATGGCATACGTTTTAAATATTTTCGTGTCCAATCAGAATATTCATTTTGTTGTATATCATATTCAATTAATGAACGATCAGCATATGCACATGCAAGACGATCATTATTAAATGATAATGCTGTACATTGATAGGTTTCTTGTGGCAATTGTGTAAGAATATTATATGTTGAATTTAAATAAATTGTTACATGACCATAACGATCTGCTGTAGCGATATATTTTGATGATACTTCAAAACGAAGTGTTGATGGTAAACATGATATAATTCGATTAAGTTTATAGGATGATGTTGAAAAACAATATAATTGACTACGAGATGTTAAAGCATATAATGATGATGATGAATGAAAACGTAGTTGAAGTAAATTTGTAATGGAAGAAAATGATTGTTCAATATTTTGTTCATCGGAATATGTTTTTATTGGTGTTACATTCAATTGAGATTGAATATCAAGACCTAAACAAATTCTCTCGATATTTTTTATTAATAATTCTTAAATTAAGATTACCTTGAATAACATAAACATGTAAACCATTCGTATCTCCCATAGCTATTATAACTTGTTCATCATCTTTACTTTTTTTTACAGTCATAGCAACTGTATCAACACGTGCTTGATGTTTTGTTTTAATTTGTACGAGATTTTTTGGTGCTCGTTCAAGTATATCTTCTCCATTATCATTAACACCACCTTCTTTACCTATTGACCATAATTCAATATAATCTCTATATGTAAATAGAAAATAATTTCCTTTCTGATAAATTTTATTTCGATGTTGAGTAAAATTAAAACATTTGCGCCATAAAACAGGTGGTTTAGAATTATCACGAACAATATCATGAACAAGTAGACGTGCATCAAGTCCACCTGATATTAACATTAATTTATTACTTAAATTATGTTCTTTATTACGTATGGAAGCAAAACGTGATGGAATTAATGTTAATGATCGAACATCATGTGAATGTGAATGAATTGATATTGTTTTTATCCATTGTTTTGTTGAATCAGTCGTTGTTGTTGTTGTTGATGTCGTTGTCGTTGTTTCGGATTTTGGTGAGACAAGTTCGATACGAACAATAACAGAATCAACACCAGAACAAAATAATGTTTGTTCATCCGATGATAACGTCATACAAAGAACATCAGCACGATGAGTTTGAAATGATCTAATAGAAAATTAATATTTTAAATCTCAATCCTTTATTTGATTTATCGTAATAACATACCGAATTAATGTTCCATAAACTGCATCCCAAACACATGTTCGACCTGATGAATCTCCACTAAAAACTGTGTAATCATCAGTTACTGCTAAACACCAAATAATGGTATCTTTTTGTCCACGTCTATTTGATGTTGATGATAATTTTCCAACATTAATTTGTTGAATAGTACGTTTTTGTCTTGTTGAACATATATAAATTCTATTTATACTTCCAGCAACAAGAAAATCATCATCAGTTGTATGCCATGCTAATGAAACAATACGTGCAGATTGTTTACATACAGATGTAGCTAATGAAAATTGACTTGCATCCTACATAAAAAAACGTTTTCTTTAATATTATTTTAAATAGAAAAAATTCTTTACTTCATCAAGTTGATAAATATTCACATGACCAGTTTCAGTTCCAACAGCAATTCGTCGAGTTATTTCATGTTTTGCAAGACTCCAAATTGCTCCACCAGCTGCATGACATGATGTTAAAATTTCAAATGTTATCGGATCATATGCAATTAATTGTCCATCAAGACCAGCTGTAATTAAATATTGTTCAAGCCATAGAACAAGTTCAGGTGAATGTGAAGCATTACGTGGTTGAATTGTACGTTCAAGTGTAAATGAATCATGAGTATTCCATAATTCAATTGAATGATCAGAACGAAGTACAGCTAATAAATGATTTGATGATGAACTATGATAATGATGAGATAAACTTAATATAGATGAAAGACGTGGTTTATATAAATGAGTACGATGTACGAGAAAATCACACATATTGATTTTTTTTTTATTGAAAGATTAATAAACTTTTTAAGAGGTTTTTCAACTAAATACGAAAAGGTTTGCTTTGTGTTTTGAACATCAAATATGATTCGTTGATTCGATGTTAACCAATTGATAAGATAATAAATTGTATATATAAAAATATTTTATTCAATATTTATAATTATTCAATAATGTTTCTAGTGTTTAATAAAATAATCAATTCTAGTACAATAGATGTCATTAGTTTTATTTTCAATGGTAAAGAAAACTAATTGGATGTTTTGCTCTACGAGATAAAGAGAAGAGGATAGAGGGCGTATTATTATTGAGTCAACGGCGTAGCCAGAATAATGGGCAAACTTCTCTTGTGTTAGAAAAAACGATGGGGCAAGATTTTTATTAATCGATCAAAACGTTTTGTTCTAGCAAAGTACTGATAACGTAGAAAAAAAATGAAATGAGATTCTTTTTATTAAACATGCATTAAACTCAGATCTTAAGCTCGAGTTAGGTATATTTTAGTGTCTCTATTTCAAATTCAAACACCAACGAGAATAAGAGTACACGTGTATTTCAAATCGACGAAAAAACAAATTTCCAAATGAAATGGATATTTGCTTCTCCCCTGGCTACCCTACTATATTGAATGTATATATATATTATGAGTATAAAGTGATCTAATTATCATTACAAATAAACTTTACTTGTAGGGTTTGATCTATATATAATCAATGCGTACCGTTTGATTAAATTGAAAGCATATAATTCTCATTATATTCTTATCAATCGAACTATCATTTACCATCTTGATGTAATACTATTAGAATTAACGCTAACATTTAATGACAAGTCAGTATGGTACTAGACCACCTACCCTTCGACTAGAATTCATGGTTAGATATTTTTCTTTTTTTATCTATACTATTGTACAAATGTCATTCATCATACTCATTAGCGAATCTTATTGATATTCAAGTAATAATTTGGATAAAAAACTTGTCTATTAAATAAAGGTCAACTAAAATCTTCAAATCGATTACATGATATAATTCGTTTTTATTATATTGTATAAACAAAAATCTTTACCCAACAAATTACATTAAGATATATTTATTATTCCTATTTGTATAATCGTAAGTGTTAGTGCCCTTCAATGAATACAAAATACAAAGGTCTAACTCATAGTAATATGTGGCATATTGTTTTCTTCTTGTTATATATATTGACATGTTGTTGACAGACTGTCTGACGCATCATATAATTTATCAATATAGACTATTCTGGTTTAAATCATAATAATAGATGATAGTTCTATTCATTGACTTTCGATCAATCTGTAAACATAGTTTTTAACTGATTTTTGTTTTTTTGAATATCATTTATTGTATTTAATTTACATGCATACAAATACATATTGCTATCGGTCATTGTAAAGGAACAAGGTAACAAAAGGACGGACGTTAATAAACACAAACAGAGAAAGAAGAAGAAGAAGAAAACGAACGAAGATAAAATGTATTCATTAAATAAATATTTTTTGTTTTTTTGTTTAGAATTTTTTTTATCAGTTTAAGATTTATATATATATATATATATGTAAAAGAGAAGACTTAAAAGAGAAGATATTATCACAGAAAAAAAAAATTCTTTTTTTTTGATGTTAATAATTATTAGCTTTCAATGTTTCAGAAGATGATAATGAAATTGTTGAATCAGTTGGAAATTGTCGTTGAAGAATCATAAGTACAGAAGATACATCTTCAGTTAATTTAGTTTCTAATGTTGTTAATCGTCTAGAAGAAAAAAAAAGAAAATAATGATAATATAATAAAACAAAAACATTCTTTTACTTAGTTAATTCTTGTAGTCGATATTCTATACTTGATTGATATGCATCAAGTGTTTGTGATTGATTTGTCTAAAAGAAATTCTCTTATAGAATAAAAAAACTCTTAGTTTTGTTTTCTTCTATATCATACCAATGGTACTAAATCATCAGGAGCTGCTGTAAATGACGATCTATGAATTGCATTCAATGATGATTGATTACCTAGAATGAAATTGTATCAAGAAACAAATATTATATTACAAGATAAATTACCATAAAAAATAGAGGCACCACTGAAAGATTTTTCACGACGATCACGACGTCGAGATGCTGTTGAACCAAATTCAAGATTAGCTGGAGTTATATCTTGACCTGCTAATTGAGGATTAAATTCTAATATACCTAAAACAAAAACAAAACCCGAGTAAGAAAAGAGCTAATACTAAAAGTATAATATTATATCCGTATACTAATATTTGTTTTTCTTATTTATAATACTAACTGTTAAACAGGGTCGACTATATCCAAAAGGCATCTCATTGATTGTCTTAGACGCTCACATGATATTTTATATATTCGATCGTATTTCATTTTATAAATAAATAATTATTTGCACGTTAAGCATTACTAAAGTACATACAATTAAATTAATGATCAATTAGCTATTCGATAAATAGAAAAAAACATTTGACAATCTAATAGTTTTTCTATCGTATAATTGAATAAGCGAAATAAAAATATTATTATTATTATTATTTTTCATTTAGTATTGACAAATAGGTACACACATACACATACACACATATTTTTTTATTATATAAATTTTAAAATAGATAAAAGACGAACTAACGAAAAATATACGCGCATTGCGTCGCTAGTATTTTGCGTGAGATGACTATTAAGAATAACATTTCTGATAAGAACTTGTTTATTTTCTTTTCTTGCTAGACAATACTGTTGATATATAGTTTTTGTTAGCAAGCAAGAGAAAAAGACAAAATTACTCAGTGAAAAAATAAGATATGCAGCCGTATCGTAGGAGAAGGAAAAGCAGTAAACAAATTTTTTGTTTTTTTCCCTGTTCTTTTACATATAGTACTCAGGTCATTCGCGTCATACGCTCTGTATCGGCTGACTAGTGTCTGAATGTCGATCTTTTTTTCTCTTCTATATATGCAAAGATATCTGTGTATATAAAGAGCAATGTTAGGGGTGTGGATATATCTGTTCGTCTCATCACCAGAGATGAGATATCAGCTCCCGTATGTGCTATGTATTGTTCAGGAGAAATATATTTTTGGATACACGACCGAGAATAGGAAAGGGCAAAATGTTTCTATTCTTTATGATTTTTTCCAGATTTTCTTATTTCGCAATTCTATTCGCAAGTACACAGACAGAGAACTATGTCAGACACACAACAACAATCCACAGTTAAAGTTGAAGGTAAATACTTTACTATTATATAATATCTAATAATTGATGATTATTAATCTTTCAAATAGGACAAGATGCTACTCAACAGTTAAAACATGATGCCGAACAAACAGGTGACGAATTATTCTGACTAATATTATTTATTTGTTTATCTATAACAGGTGCTGAAGTTAAAGCAGCAGCAAGTGAAGTTACTGATGTAGCTAAAGAAAAAGCTGCTGATGTTAAAGACGCTGCACAAAAGACAGCAGATGATGCCAAAGAAGCTGGTAAGGTCTTTTTAGATATTTAATTAAATAAATAAATATGTAATATCTTTAATGACAGAAAAAAGAATGATTGTTTATTCAAATGAAGATTAACTCTTATTAGAAAGTATTTTTTTTCTGGTAAAAAAAACAGCAATTTATTAATAACCCAAGGGAAAAATTTTCTCATCAGAAAATTCTCAACAGACGAAAGCTTCCTTTCTATATGATTAAAAAAAATAAAAATAATAGTTTATTATTGAAACTCACATAATATTTTCTTAGGTGCTCAAATAGCTGGTGAAGTAAAAGATGCTGCAGAAACTAAAGTTGAACAAGCAAAAGAAGCTGGAGCACAATTAGCTGATGATGCCTCGAAGAAAGTTGATGAAGTGAAAGATGCTGCAAAAGAAGCAGCAAGTGAAGCAAAAGATGTTGCACATGAAAAGACCGAACAAGCAAAAGAAGCTGGAGCGCAATTAGTTGATGATGCAACACAAAAAGCAGATGAAGCGAAAACTACTATTGTTGAATCAGCTATACATGCTAAAGATGCAGCCGTTGAAAAAGCACAAGAAATTGGACATGCTGTATGAAGAAGAAAACTCGATTTATATTCTTAATTTAAATTTCTATTTATTTTTAGGCTGTTGAAACCGTTAATGCCATTCCAGGAGCAGTTGCTGATGCTGCTAGTTCTGTTGGTGAAAAACTTGCAGCTGCCGGACAATGGGTAAATATTTTATATAGAAAAAAAAAACTTTTTTTTTTATTTCTTGCTCTTTTTTATAGACAGCAGACACAGCCGCTGCAGTTGGTACAGCTGTTATTAATTCAGCAGGAGAAGCATTACATAGGTAATGTTGATTTAAAAAATAGTTTTCATTTCTTTTTATCATTTGTTTTTATTTAGTCTTGCTGAAGCTGCTACTGATGCTAAGAACAAAGGTAAGTTTTATTAGATAAGAAAAACCACGAAAGAAAAATATTTTTGCACTTATTTATTTTGTAGTAACTGAAGTAGTCGGTCATGCTATGGATAAAGGTAGACATAAAATTTAATTGAAACTATAAAAACTAATTACATATTCGATAGGTAGCGAAAAAGTTGAAGAAGTAAAAGATAAAGCTAGCGAGGTAGCAGCTGATGCTAAAGAAAAAGGCGAAGGTAAATAATTGTTTTTTTTTTCTAAAAATCATATGTCTATTTTTATATGAGTAGAAGTCAAACAAGATGTACAAGAAAAAGGTATAATTGATTTATAATCGACACTTGTTTTCTATTAGTAAATATTTAGCTGGTGAATTAAAAGAAAAAGCATCAGAGAAAGTTGATGAAGCTAAAGAAAAAGCCCAAGGTAAATTATTCTGAAATATCTCGAAGCAAGACTAATGAATTCTTTTTTTATATAGAAGTTAAAGAAGGTGCAGAAAAAAAAGGTTTATTTTAATTCATTAAAATGGATTTTGTGAATAAATTTATTTGTTTTAGTCGATGAAGCAAAAGATAAAGCTAGTGAAGTAGTAGCTGATGCAAAAGAAAAAGGCCAAGGTAAATCTATCTTTTATCAAGTAAAATTTTATGATTTATTTTCAATAAATAGAAGTCAAAGAAGCTGTACAAGAAAAAGGTATAATTATTTTTTTGGCTTTCAAATTATTATTTATTTTCAATTTTTAGCTGGTGAAGTAAAAGAACAAGCCTCCAAGAAAGTTGATGAAGCTAAAGATAAAGCTAGTGAAGTCGTAGCCGATGCAAAAGATAAAGCCCAAGGTAAACTATTCGAAAATATTATTAAATAGAACTAATAAATTATTTTTTATATAGAAGTTAAACAAGATGCAGAAAAAAAAGGTTTGATCATTTCTCTTTCGAATTATTTTTTCAAATAAATTAAAATATTTTAGTTGATGAAGCAAAAGATAAAGCTAGTGAAGTAGCTGCTGATGCTAAAGATAAAGCTGAAGGTAATAAAATCTCTAAATACTAATCATATCTGCTAATCTTAATTTTTAAATAGAAGTTAAAAGTGATGTTCAACAAACAAGTAAATTAATTTAAACTCAAATAATTCTTTTTATGAGATTTTTCTATTTTCTAGCTCAAGACCTTCCAGCAAACAGTGAGGTACATACGTCCCCAACAGGTACTGTTTATATTACAACACCACCAGCTGATCAAAGCGTACCTGCCAATACTACTACTGAAGCCAAATAAAAAACAAAACACAAGTACAAGACTAAAGTTTTCGCTTGTTTACAACCTTTCTTCTGTTTTAATTCGTTGTATACATTATCCTTTCTTGCTGTGTGTGTGCGTTTATTTATTTAACCTATAGTGTTGCTTTAAAGTTTTACTGAAACACTAGCGCGTACACCTTACGAAATAAATCACTAATATATCATAGTTCAGATTGAAATTTTATTATCTTTTATCAAGAGAAAAACATTATTTTGACTATCAACAATACAAAATTCAAGATACGATCAATCATATGTAAAAATGTCTGTAAATAAATGATTACTTGCTTTATCCTTATGTCCATCAGTTGCTAGTAAATATAATATATATCTCTTTCTGTCAATCTTAACCATAATCAATGAGAAACTTTCTTTTTCCCACGCCTTTTATATCAAACTCTTCGGATGATGTTTTTGTTATAATAATAAGTATTATATTACCTGTACCACTAGGATATTCGTCAAAATAAGATTGATGTGGAGCCATTATTGATATATTATCATCTTCTGTTCGATTAAATGATGCGCCTTATATAGATAAACGAAAAATAACTATAAATTCTATTAGATAATAATGACGATTTACTTGTTCGATATTGTTGTTGATTTGGAAAGTATTTTGATCGACATTCATTTGATTTTGTAACAAGTTCTTCCTTTAAAAAAGACAAAACAAAGAATTATTTTTTATAATAAGCAAAAAACAAAATTACATCACGTAATGTGAGAGTAATTTTTAAATTTTGACAAAAACTTTGTGCAAATTCTGGATACATTTCAATAACTTCAAGTAAATCATCACGTAATATTTTATGTAAATCACAATATGTTAATGCTCGGACATTAAAAGCAGATTTTCCTGGTTCACTATATAATAAAGGATTTTCACCAAGAATATCGTCTTTACCTAAAAATTAATTTTTAAAAAATATTATTCTTCATTTGAAATTTTATTACTAAGAATAGCAACAACATTATCATCTTTTAATATTTCAATTGAACCACGTGATATAAAATAAATTGATGTTAATATATCTCCACGATGTGTTATTATATCACCAGGCGGTGCATGTGTAGTTTTTAATTTCATTGAAAATGTACGTAAACAACCTTCACTTGCATCTATACACAACAATATTTATATCAAATATAAAACAAACAAATCATTATCAAAAAAAAACCTTTAAATGCAGGACAATTTTTAAGTAATTGACTATTTAAATGTAAACATATATCAGCTTGTAAACATTCCGGAAAACCTTTTAAAACCATATTCATATCAATACCACTAGATTTGAAAATAATTTACAATTATAAATATTATAAGAATAATTATTTACTTCGTATAATTCCATGCATGATTAAAATAATCTTCCAGACGTTGTCGTAATGGATTTGGTATTTGATGAAAACGAATAAATTCTTTAACCCTATTTATTAAATAAGAATTATATACAAATAAGTCATTATTTATTATTTTGTATGTCTACCGTAACATTTGTATTTGATAACGAGCTGTGCCGGAATATAATCTTTGAATAATAGCACTGACATTACCGAATATACTGGCATACATCAAAGCTAAAAGATAAAATAAATGAAAATTACG